TGGTCCTGAGACAACTGAAGTATCCTGAGTGCTATTAGTGCTGCAAAGCAGGCCAGACAGAAGTCAGACAGTTAGGAAACTTCTGGAAACAATGGAACATTGGACATGTGGTCTGACTGTTTCCTTTCCCAGGGAGAAGTTGGGGGCTGGGGTGTATTATCCCCTAACCCTGAGCTGAATCAGAGAGAGAAGCTGTGCTAAATGTCTATATGCTAGTTCAAACCACATTTTTGTTCTCTGTATATCCCAGGAGCTCTGTGTTTGCTGGGTTGGGTATCAAATACCTAGACTAAAAAGTTGGGTATCAAATACCTAGACTAGGTGGGTGTTGGTGGCTCACTTCTATAATCCTAGCTGAGATAGGGAGGATCACAGTTCAAGGCCAACCTAGGCAAATACTTGAAAATACCCCATCTCCAAAGTAACCAGAGCAAAATGGACTGGAGGTGTGGCTCAAGCTATAGAGTGCTTGCTTTGCAAATATGAAACCCCGAGTTCAAATCCCAGTCCTGCCAAAAAAAAAAAGGTAGATATCAAGTCCAATTCTTTCCCTTCTTGAAGAAAAGCTGGGAACTGGGAGTTCCCTCCAGATCATATGACACTATGCTAAAAGTGAGAATTCGGGCAAAGAGATGTTTCCAATTTTCCTACCAGTTTTGCTGTGGCTGGTTTCACACTTATGGTTTGCAGGAGCCTCTCACAAAGGGAATTGAACCATGTGTTGCTGGTAAATGGTTGTGTCAGTGGTTGGAAGAAGAATCCAGCTCTTCCTTTTCTGCCATACTGCGAGCATCACTCCTGTCAGTCTTCTTTTATTTTTTCTTTGCTGTATGCCAAGGGCTTGTATACATTCTTGTAACTACTGGGATAATGAGAGCCTCTGCACAGCTTATTATTGACTTCATTGAGTGCTGGAAATGACACAGATCAAGCACATAGTCTATCTAGGAGGTACCAAGTATGTGAAATATGAAAAGTAGCTATTTGGAGCCTAAGAATTCTGAGCAGTTGCTGTGTTTTCAATTTGCAGGAATACCTCAAATACCTTAAATTCATTTCATTAGGTCAATAGTTATAGGAATTTCATAAAGACTACATCGTAGCTTTGATCTGCACATTCTTTGGCTGTTGTATCTACTCATGCATTTAGTCTCCTTCCCTTTCTTATATTTCCTGTAAGTCTAGTTACATATGCTTACCCCATTTATATTTTTAGATCGCTTCTTTTTAGTATTTTCTTTGTTTTGCAAGGCAGGTATACATAATTTTAATTTAGGTTTTGTTCTAATGTTTGTAATGTACATTTCCAAATAATCTAAATTTATTTCAAGTATCACTCACTATGCAGCTATACTGTAACGTAGGTGCCATTTGGTAGTGCACTCCATATCCCTCCTGGCCAATCCTTAAGACATTGCTGTCACTTGCATAACTCATATACATGCTGTGATAATCCAACACATTCTCATTAGTTTAAGAACACAGTTATCCTTTCATCCAATTAATAATCAGACAAAAGGTTCTATTTTACATTTTTTTAGTTCTTTTTTATTGTTGTGTTGGGTGGGGGTACATTGTGGCATTTACAGTGGTTGTTATATTGTATCAAATATATCATACTTGAATTCTTTTTAAAAAATAGTTTTCTAGAAGTAATTTATGCACATGGTAAATATTTTAGTGCAATATTAAAGGGTATATAGCTAAAATAAACAAATGAACCTCTTCCCTAATCTTCTTACTTTTCCTCTGTAGAAGCAGCCATTCATTATTATTTGTTTGTTATGTCTTCCTAGAAGTATCTACTTGGTCATAATTTAGATTAAGATGTGGAAGAAATAATGGTAGAAGACCATGTTTTCTGTGGTCTGTTCTTCAGTAACCAGGTTCAAAAGCAGGTGATACAAAATAGCAGCCTATGCCTGTAGAAAAGTGAACAGGTGTACCATTCAAGACATTATAACTAGGGTGATGTCATGTTTTCACAATGCTGGCAGCTTACTTACCTTTTATTTTATGCTCTGTGACTTTAGGCATTTAGGAATTTGGATTTCCCACCCATGTTTCAAAGAGATAAAAATAGAAACTGGTTTTATTTCTCTTTTCATTAGATGACATTTTTCTCCCACTTAAATTTTTTTAATTATGTAAGCAGATCATATATCATTTTATTTTCTTATCATATGACTTCTTAACAACTTAAAAAATGTCTTCCTGATCTGAAGACAAGAATTATTCATGGATGCTTTTTAAAAAGAAAAAGGATATTTTAATTTAAAATTAAGCCTTATGAGTCAAGTCCAAGAGCAGTACTAAAACTTAAGTTTGAGTTTGAGAAGCATCTGGGTAGAACCACTTGCACACCCATCTTCATTCCAGCACTACTTATAATAGCAAGCTTTAGAGGCAGCCCAGATGTCCCATGGCTGATAAATGGATTAAGAAAATATGGTATGTACAGACAATGGGGTTTTATTCAGCCATAAAGAAGAATGAAACTGTATTGTTTGCAGGTAAATGCATGGAATTGGAGAACTTCATGTTAAGCAAAGTAAGCCAACCTTAAAAAAGTCAAAGGTTGCATGTTTTCCCTCATATGTGGAAGCTAGACCTGTAAGTTAAGTGTATATATGATCATACATATATACACACAAACACACACATACATATAGTGAGAGAGAAAGAACAAAATAGTGAGTGTGTCTGAGGGGACTATAGGAGAAGGAGAGGGAAAGAAAATGTTAGAGAAATAACCCATCTATATATGAATATATTATAATGTACTGTACTGTTAGTTATTGAATATTAGGGGATCCTGGTGATAGAGTATGAGTAAGTAATGGGTGAGGGGAGGGGAATTTGATTAAAGCACAGTAATAGAGACCTGAAGTACCAAAGTGAGACCCACTTGGACTATCAATATACACTTAAAAAAATGAAGGGCAGGAAAGTAAAATAAATTTTTTTCTTGGGGCAGGAACCAGTGGGAAGGGGGGAGGGCATGCACTATTCACAATAGCCAAGTTATGGAAACAGCCAAGATGCCCCACTACTGACGAGTGGATTAAGAAAATGTGGTATCTATACACAATGGAATTTTATGCAGCCATGAAGAAGAACGAAATGTTATCATTTGCTAGTAAATGGATGGAATTGGAGAACATCATTCTGAGTGAGATTAGCCTGGCCCAAAAGACCAAAAATCATATGTTCTCCCTCATATGTGGACATTAGATCAAGGGCAAACACAACAAGGGGATTGGATTTTGAGCACATGATAAAAGCGAGAGCACACAAGGGAGGGGTGAGGATAGGTAAGACACCTAAAAAAACTAGCTCGCATTTGTTGCCCTTAACACAGAGAAACTAAAGCAGATACCTTAAAAGCAACTGAGGCCAATAGGAAAAGGGGACCAGGAACTAGAGAAAAGGTTAGATCAAAAAGAATTAACCTAGAAGGTAACACACACGCACAGGAAATTAATGTGAGTCAACTCCCTGTATAGCTATCCTTACTCGACTAGCAAAAACCCTTGTTCCTTCCTATTATTGCCTATATTCTCTCTTCAACAAAATTAGAGATAAGGGCATAATAGTTTCTGCTGGTTAGCGAGGGGGTAGGGGGGAGAGAAAGGGGGTGGGGACAGGGGGGAGAAATGACCCAAGCATTGTATGCACATATGAATAAAAAAAAAGGGGGGGGGTGGGGGAGGGCATATGGAAAGGTGAATGAGGGTGAATATGGTGGTGAATTTTGTATTCATATATGAAAATGGAAGAATGAAACTTGCTGAAATTGTTCTAAGAAGATGGGGGTTGGGAAGAGGGAGAATGATGGAGAAGGTGAAGCTAGCTAAGACATATTGTAAACATGTATGTAAATATCACAATATTTGTATCCCCTGTACAAGTATTATATGCTAATAAATAAAAAAAGAAGCACCTGGAGTGCTTGTTTAAAATGCAGATTTTTTGAGCTCCCTTTCCTACACTTCCCTGGTTCCCACTAGAAGAATATATGTCGTGGTCTTAATGTGGGGTTCCTAAAGATTCTTAAGGAGGAAATTCTGGTCTCATATTGGAAACATGAATGAGGCTGGGCAGGAGACCAACGTGCCCATTTGGGGAAGCATTCATTGTTTCCAGCTGCAGAGCTTGTTATATTTTGGCCAACAATTTCAGTTTTTGTTTTAACCTAAATGGAATCTAATGGAAAAGTTTTTCTCTAGAATTAGAAGCAATGGGATTTTTGTATGGAAACTTTCTTGTCCTACACTGTTGTAAAGGAAACAACAATGTACTCCCAGAGATCTGACCTCCTTAAATAGGGTTATTGCACAGATTAAAAACAACAGAACAATGAAAGCAAAATTAATGACTACTTTGTGAAAAATAGATTACAGGAAATTTCACAGATCAAAAGGCAGCTGTGTTGAAAATAATAAGCAGTAAAGTTGGCTCATTTTGATAACATTTCTCTGTGGCATGGGCTTAAGTGGTTGCACAAGTTGTACAGTCCCCCCATATTCACCCTTTCCTTATGTTCATCCCCTCTTCCACTGGCACCCAGTCTCAGAAAAGACCTATTTTACTTTCCTGCTCTTCGTTTTTTGAAGTGTATGTTGATAGACCAAGGGGGTTTCACCTTGTACTTCAGATCAGTATATATCACGCTGTGATCAGATTATTCCCTCTTCCTGTTCAGTTGTGTTGATTTTGTGATAATTGGATACTTTACAGATAGGAACTATCAGCTGGTAAGTTTAAAAAAATCTATCTTATAATATTAGAGATTATACAAAATTTGAATCTTAGTGTCCATCAGTGAAGTTTTATTATAACAGACAAGATCACTTGTTTGTGTCTTATCTGTGGGTGCTTTGGTGGCTCAATTGGCAGAGCCAAACTGTTGCAACAGAAACCATGGGCCCTCGCAAAATATAACATATATTAGGTTTTCTCACCATACTTTCTAATTTCTCACCATATTTTTTTTACAGAAACATGTGGAATTCATTCAAAATACATGAGAGCTATGTATCCTACCAAAACCTTCCCAAATCATTATACTATTGTCACGGTAAGTGCTTGGCCCAGAGGGAGGACTGACAGGCCACCGACAAGAAACACACTACATCAGGCAGATATGCCTAGGAAGAATTGGCCAAGTTCCGACCACAGATGTCACAAGTACATGTGGTGACAAGTCATGGCTTAATTCAAACTAGGAAGGCCTAGCTCAATAGGAGGCTAATGGAGTATGTGAGGCATTAAATATGAATGAGTGTCTTGCACTAATTCACCTTTGTGAGAGGCCAGAGTAAGCTCCATGACTAAGAAAAAGCAATCCCCTGTGGCTTTTTCGTTGTCTCTTACTTAACTGAGGGTCAGCAGAGAATAACAGGCAATATAAGAGGACAACTACTTGGATGTGGGAAATTTTGTCCTTTGCTAGTCTTTTCATGACATTTAACTTAACAAACACTTGTTTTATAAATTATTTCATACTCGCTACATCTTTATCTTTTTAGATAAATTAACTAAAGCCAGGGAATTCTTAATGTATGAAAAGATATAGGTAGAATTGTTAAAATGAACTCAAAGGAAAGCTACGCTATGTCAGACTTACAGATATAGAGTGTCGTAAGAACTCTTCGAGGGCTGGGGGTGTGGGGAGCACCTTCTGAGTCAGCCTTTATCATCAAAGGATGCTTATGTCTTTAGTACTTTGCATTTAGAAGTTTACGGAACATATTTAATTATTAACCCCTAAGTAATTGTATGTGTGTATATCCTCATTATTTGCAGTCCATATTTGATAAAATTTATTTATAACTCTAAATCTGTAAATGTAGTGTGTTTGTGGTCTTTTGTGGACCTCAAAAACACAGCAAAATAGTTTTGAGTTGTCTAATGCACAATTCCTGATTGAGGACAAGGTGACACTTTGCCTCTTGTTTTACTGTGAACAAGTGTAATTTTTGCAATTTGTGATCTTTTTAATGCCGTGCCTTTCACATTTGTGCTTTTACTGGTGGCTGTTCAACATGGCCGAAGCAAAGTGCTAACATCTAGTGTTCTAAGGCTGGGAGTTGCCTTAGCGAAAAAATACGTTAGGTAAACTTTGTTCAGAAATGAATTACATAGAATGAACCGATAATTTATATTAAATAAGGTAACTTTCCTCAGACATAAACAAAGTAATGTAATGATCAATTCATAAGAATGTTTGGACCAGGGGCCCTCAGGAGCATAAGGCTGTATTTTCCCTAGGGACAATAGTTCAGTGGCTATTAAGTCAGTGTTCATCATAATTTAAAGGTTGTAGCTATCATGAATAATTGACCATATGTGTATATGCATACATGAATAGTCATGCATAATATACACAATACACATATGTATATATAAATAGAAGATTACACATAACAACCATCAATATACTATTTATATGCATTCATGTCATATATATATACACATATATATACATATATAATGTTCCAAAATGATGACTCCCCCCAAATCTATCTAAAAGTAATTACAAATGCATAATATATAATAGGCACTCACCGAAAATGTGTGGAATGATTACATGAATATATGATTGGATTGAATGAATGATTGAATTAATGATGATGGGTGGATGAAAAGGAAAGACTCCTGCTAAAGTGTTGGCAACCCACTTTAATCCTATTTAGCCAGGACATTTGAAACATAAAAGCTTCTAAAGAGTAAATTTCTTTTCATTATTGCTAATGTAATTAGTGTTAATTAGTATTATAATTTAGGAAATTTTCTTAACCGTTACTAAGCACATAAAAGTTGTAATAATACCATCACCCCAAACCATCTACCTAAAGTCATTCATTTGTTGCTTCAGACATGGTAGAACTAGAAAAAAAAAATCCTGACACTTAGGTTCAGATCCAAGATGTTTTATACTGACATCTTTCCTAAATATGATATATAGATCTTGTTATTTTAACTTAAATATACATTTTACTAATATTTTATCTTAATCTTTTCTGAAATTTATATTTTAGGGCTTGTATCCAGAATCACATGGCATCATTGACAATAATATGTATGATGTAAATCTCAACAGGAATTTTTCACTTTCCTCAGCAGAGAAAAATAATCCAGCCTGGTGGCAGGGACAACCAGTATGTAGCATTCTACTTGTGGCATCCACAGTAATGTCTGTCTCCCTGTGTGACAATGGATCAGTTTTTCCTGCATGTTATCCACCTGCTTTCCCAGGGCTGTGGGTGTGAACATGCTCCCCACTATTCATTATTATAATTTGAAGTTTTAGACATTTATGATTGCTCATTCAAATGATCTTATGTTTAAAAAATGAACTTATTTCTTACTGCCTTACTAAATTTTTAAGTTTTGAGGTAGATATTTGAATAATTATGTATTTTTACTGCTGCAAAGATAAATTTTAGTTTCATAAAAAATTTCTCAATTAAAATTGTTTCTAGTAAGTTGTGCCATCTATACCCAAATTAATTGGCCTCTTTTCCTACTAACTTTCACTTAGCCCAAGTTTTCTCTTCTTGCAGATTTGGCTGACAGCAATGTATCAAGGTTTAAAAGCTGCTTCATACTATTGGCCAGGATCCGATGTGGATATCAACAGCTCCTTTCCTTCTATCTACATGAATTACAGCAGGTAATGAAGCAAGGTCCCATCTAGGAGGAATAAGTAGGACTTTTAAAAAAAATCTTGGTCTGTTTTCTTCTTTTTTTAGTGTGGGGAGATTGAACCCAGGGCCACAGACATTATAAACACACACTTTACCACTGAGCTAACCTCATTCCTCCTTTTGGGCTTAATTTTGAATAAAATTATATTCAAGATTGTTTGAGCCCACAATCTTGGGGAGTCATTGATTCTTCTCTCTTATATCCCCCATTTAGTCTGTCAGCAAACTGTTTTGGCTCTAATTGACAAAGGACACGGTCTGAGAATGTACTTCCTCTGGCCTTACCACTGTGGTTTGAGTGTTCATCTCTTGCCTGTGTTACTATACTTGCCTCTTTCCACATCTCTTTGTTGCTTGCCCGGGATAACCTAGTCTCATCCCATCAGCCAGTGGATTCCATTGAAATGCAAGTCAAATTCTGGCACTTTTTTTTTTGCACCAAAATTTTCAGTGGTTTCCAGTATGCACACTCTCCATACTGTTTCTAATGCATCTTATTCTAAGAGTGCGTATGAGAGCAGTGCTGAAAGAGATGTCTCCAGAGGCTGCTGATGCAGCACAAGCTTGCGTTCCTAGAAAAAACATTTGGAATGGTGCCTCTTTCATCTACTACGATCAGATCCTGCTTGCCAGTTCCTTCTAATGTGCCTATCTGCCCTACTCCAAGAAAACTTGTAAGAGCAACCCTAAAAGAGATGTCACCAGAGGCACCGTTTTACACCACAGGTTTCAGTGGCTTCTTATGTTAGTCAGAGAAAAATCCTATGAGGCCCCAAGTGAGATGACACCACTGTCCCCTACCTCTCAGACATGCTGTCCGTCTATACCCCAGTGCTCACTCCAACCGTTGAGGGCAACCTACCAGACTTGCCTCCTCTGTAGGGCCTTTTCCTCAGCTGCGCCCTTTGTCTGAGGTGATTCCCTCCATAGACCTAAACGCCCACTCATTCACATCTTTCAGACTGTTGCTCAAAAATTACCTTTTCAATATCAACTTCCCTCAAACACTAAGATTTAGAATTTCAAAGCACCCTTATACCAGTTTCTTGAGGACCCTTACTCTGGCTTTTTTTTTTTTCTGTAACATTTATCATGTTTTAATACACCATTGAATTGAGGATTAGGACTATTGCTCATTATTAACTCTTCCAATGAAATGTAATCTTTGGTTTGCTCATTGATACGTTCTGTTTTAAATGAACAAATAGTGTCTAGCAGTAGATAATTATCTATCTATCTACCTATCATCTATCTGCCTATCTATCTCTCATCTATCTATCTATTATCTATCTAACTATTGATCTACCTAAATGCATAGATGAATAAAGATAAATGTAATGGATGACAATCAATGACCTTTTATTTTAGTTAGAGAACATGGAAGGAGAGAAGGGAAAGGAAAAAATAAAGCAATATATATTTAATATACAGTGCTGGAAGTATATTTGTATACGAATACTGAAAACAGGGACCCTTTTAGTATACTGAGTCCTTTCAGTATTTTGATCAAATAGGGTCACAAAATGAATATCTGAAGATGTTAACCTATCTTCCCCAGGAGTAATCTAATAGGATTCTATTTTATTTAATTAATTATTAAAAATTATTTCTTTTTTTGCAGTGCTGTTCCATATGAAAAAAGGGTCTCTACATTGTTACAATGGCTGGACCTGCCCAAAGCTGAAAGGTAATACCTAGGGTAAAAGAAGTACAGGCATAGTGTGATATATTTGGGTAAAAATTGGAATTCTTTCCTTATTGTCATGGCCATTTTTGAAAAAACTCAGCATTGCCCTTCAATGGGCACTTTTTAAAATTATGCCTTGAAACTGGTTCTGTTTAGGATATAGTTGACACTATCAACAATAGAGACAGAGCCAGTGCTGGAGAGGGAAGGAAATATCACAAGAGTAAGATATGGGGCAGGTCTGACCCTTGCTTCTGAGGTCAAATTCCAGGAGTCAGAGGCATTGGCACAAGGCCATGGAAACAGGCTGGAGTCAGAGCATCCTGAAAGAGTGCAGTAAACAGTACATCAGAAAACAGATGTCTAAAAAAGAAGTAGATGTAGTAGAACAGAGTCAGAAAAGAGGCAGAATCCAGGAAATATAAACAGTTGGGCATACTAAGAGTGGTCATACTGCAAGAGCAAAGGAGATTTCACAACTGAAGAATACCAATGATTATATCTGGACAGGTCTTACTTACTTCCTGTTAGGAGACCTATCTCTGCTAGGGTCAAGTGTAACCTTTGGCCTCAACAAAGAGAAGGCCAGGAAGAATGAGAGCAAAGACCAGTAAGTTCAAAATCCACGAAATCCAGCCTAGAGGTTTACCCCAAGTTATTATGTCTTTCTCTGTTTCAATTTTACCCCTAGACCACATTTTTATACCATATATGTGGAAGAGCCTGATTCTGCAGGACATTCAAGTGGACCAGTCAGTGCCAGAGTAAGTTTTTTGTTTTTTAAACAAATGGAAAATCATGTAGCCTTCACTCACAAAATAGAACAGTATTCTTTCATTTCTCTTTTTTTGTTGTTGCTGTTTTTGGTTTTGGTGGTAGTGGGGTTTGAATTCAGGGTTTTGCACTTGCAAGGCAGGTACTCTACCACTTGAACCTCGTTCCCAGCCTTATATTCTTTCACTTTACCATGCACAAGTGTATTTGATAAAATACATGAGAAGATCAAAATAATTAAAAGTCTAAAAGAGATCTCTGCCTTTTTAACCATAAAATAGTTTGAATTCTAGAAGGATAACTGCCTTGTTAACCACATTTTGACTCTTGATAAAAATTTATTGAAGACTTTGACATGTCACTGCTATTTTATATAATGAACACTTCAAGGTTAGCAACTGCATGTCATGTGCCAGTTCAGCATGTTGATGTAGCCGTTTCAACCTAAGTCACCTGCAGGTCTATTGTCCAGCTGTCTACCTACCATCAACTGTCTTCCTACCATACATGGTTGCATTCATAAGTTCTGTGTAAGCGGACTTAATATGCTATTACCTCAGGCAGAATTATTCCTCTCTTAGGCCTCCTTTATCATTGGAGTGGCCCCTGATACAAATTTCTTCATTATCTAGTCCACTCTGTTACGATTTTACCACACAAATTTAGTCCATAAGTACTGATTTCAGTAAGGAAGCCATCCTTTCTTCCAAACTCCACTGAAGCTTGGGTAAAATGTGAGGCTGAAGAAGCTCCCTGGAATCAGATGACTCTCCCCATCCAATGGAAACTCATTTAGCAGTTGTCCTCTGTTGGAATGCATGCATATTTATTCTGGAAACATGCCTTTGTTACTTATCAGTCATATTTCTCCCTTCCTATTAAACCAAAATGGATCCTAATACGAGGTCCTCACCACTGTTAAGCCTGTGGGACTCTTCTGTATTCCAATACCACTCTACTCTGCATGACAGAATTTTACATTTATTCTCTAAGGGCAAATAGCTCAGTGACTATCTAAAATATATCCACTATTCCTTCTTTTCTATTTTAACTGCTATCTGTTCTTGAGAAGAGACCCTCTGTCTCCATTTATTTGGCCTCTACAGCTAACTAAAAGTTAGGCACCCTTTCATTCCTCCTTCTTCCCTTTGCAGTGCTCTAGTTTAGCACCCAAATAAATTTTCAGTACAATTTTGCAAAGTGCTGCAAAGGAAGAACTCTGAGTGCCTGGAGAAGTCTATGACAACATCCTAATCCAGTCTGAGATGGGATGGGACTTGGGGCTGGTTAGGAGGGTCTCCTCCGAGTGACCAAAAGGAATCAGAATTTACAAATGCACTGATTGAAAAAGCATCTGAGCATATTACAATAGCACATAAGACAAGCAAATGCACAGGTAAATGGCTAGATGAGTTGACACAGACACCATGATAATAGTGAAAATAAAAAAATACCAGCTAACCCTTATTGTGTGCTACTCTGTGCTGAATGCTATTCAAAGTGCTGTGTGAGCATTGCCTCCTATTGATGTCTGGAGCACTGGGAACCAGGAGAGAGCACCAAAAGGAAGCTTAGAGAAGGAGGCCATCATGGACTCATGCAGGTCTTTGCGGGCCATAAAAAGTACAGTGGGAAGCACGGAGACATTGTGGATGGGAAAGTGAAGTGACCAGACCCATGTGAATTTAGAGATCATCTTCCTTGTATGTGAGGAAAGTGACAGAAAATGGGAAACAATGACTCAGTCTCTGCAACATTCCAGAAAAGAGGCAGCAGTGACTTACTAGTCACTAGTGACTTACACTTATATTTGGTAACCATCATGCATGAAAGATGACACATTTGAGATTCACTTAGGAGACAGAGATAACAGGTTTCTGTCATAGCCAGCAGGTAACAATGGTGCTCCCCCTGACATTACATTACTAAGGCCTCTTCAGGGGGATGAGTTTCAGGAAGGTGCTCATTATGTCTTTGAGGTGTTTGTGACTTGCACAATAAAGGAAACAATGAGTTAATGTGCACTACCTTCTTTTGTTAAAGAAAGACTTTAAGGTTAAAAAATTTTAATTCTAAAAATTTGATTGCTCAAATAATGCCTACATGGGAAGATTATTGTGACATGGAATACCTTGAGAGGATTTATGAAATGAAATGGGGATATTAGGGTGTTAGGATCTGGATGGTGGGAGAGGCACTTGAACTACAGTGAAGCCAGGAACATTTTGGTTTTTGAGACAGTCTCACTATGTAGCCCAGACTGCCCTCGAACACAAGATCCTCCTGCCTCAGTCCCCTAACAGCTGGATGTCAAGTGTGCACCGCCATGCTTAGCCAGGAACTTCTTTTTTTTTTAATTTTTATTTTATTCATATGTGCATACAATGTTTGGGTCATTTCTCCCCTCTTCCCCCGACTCCCTTCCTTACTCCCCTCCTCCCCTTACTCCCCCCTTACCCCTCGCTACCCAGCAGAAACTATTCTGCCCTTATATCTAATTTTGTTGAAGAGAGAGTATAAGCAATAATAGGAAGGACCAAGGGTTTTTGCTAGTTGAGATAAGGATAGCTATACAGGGAGTTGACTCGCATTGATTTCCTGTACATGTGTGTTATCTTCTAAGTTAATTCTTCTCCAACTAACCTTTTCTCTAGTTCCTGGTCCCCTTCTCCTATTGGCCTCAGTTGCTTTAAAGTATCTGCTTTAGTTTCTCTGCATTGAGGGCAACAAATGCTATTTAGTTTTTTGGGTGTTTTACCTATCCTCATATCTCCCTTGTGTGCTCTCGCTTTATCATGTGATCAAAGTCCAATCCCCTTGTTGTGTTTGCCCTTGATCTAATGCCCGAGTATGAGGAAGAACATACGATTTTTGGTCTTTTGAGCCAGGTTAACCTCATTCAGAAAGATGTTCTCCAATTCCATCCATTTACCCGCAAATGATAATGTTTTGTTCTTCTTCATGGCTGCATAAAATTCCATTGTGTATAGATACCACATTTTCTTAATCCATTTGTCAGTGGTGGGGCATCTTGGCTGTTTCCATAACTTGGCTATTGTGAATAGTGCCACAATAAACATGGGTGTGCAGGTGCCTCTGGAGTAACCTGTGTCACAGTCTTTTGGGTATATCCCCAAGAGTGGGATTGCTGGATCATATGGTAGATCAATGTTTAGTTTTTTAAGTAGCCTCCAAATTTTTTTCCAGAGTGGTTGTACTAGTTTACATTCCCACCAGTAGTGTAAGAGAGTTCTTTTTTCCCCCCACATCCTCACCAACACCTGTTGTTGGTGGCATTTTTGATGATGGCTATTCTAACAGGGATGAGGTGGAATCTTAGTGTGGTTTTAATTTGCATTTCCTTTATTGCTAGAGATGGTGAGCATTTTTTCATGTGTTTTTTGGCCACTTGAATTTCTTCTTTTGAGTAAGTTCTGTTTAGTTCACTTGCCCATTTCTTTATTGGTTCATTAATTTGGGAGAATTTAGTTTTTTAAGTTCCCTATATATTCTGGTTATCAGTCCTTTGTATGATGCATAGCTGGCAAATATTTCCTCCCACTCTGTGGGTGTTCTCTTCAGTTTAGAGACCATTTCTTTTGATGAGCAGAAGCTTTTTAGTTTTATGAAGTCCCATTTGTCTGTGCTATCTCTTAGTTGCTGATCTGCTGAGGTTCCATTGAGAAAGTTCTTGCCTATACCTATTAGCTAGGAACTTCTTAAAGACAAATTTATTCTAATGATTATCTAGTATTGAAGATGCAGTAGTCATAGAATGTCCTAATTGGACACGAGTCGCTTTAAATAATGGCCCCCACACTTGAGTAAGATTCAGCTGCTATTCATTACTAACAAAGGAATATTAGATAGAATGAAAAGTTGGCAAGAAAAAGTTAGTTCAGAAAAGGAAATTCAGAGCAGGTTGACTAAATGTTGGTAATGCTGATGCACACGGTGGAGGAATTCAGAGTCCTGAAGATCTGCACTGCGGAAGAGCGTGTTGAGGGAGAATGTGTCAGGAAGGATCCCGTACCTTCCAAAAGGCAGATTTATAGCAATGCTATGTACAGCTTCCAGCCTGCTGGCTCCACTGCAGCCTTGAATTCAATTTTATAAAGGGACTTATGTATCCAAAGCAGAAACTCTCAGTGGACTCAGTATACAGGGATTGGTTGTACTGTGGAAGTGAATGCTCATGATTCCATGTGAAGAAGCAGAGTTTGCTTTCTTTTCTCCCCACTGTCCCATGCTGGGGATCAAACCCAGGGTCTTGCGCATGCTAGGCAAATGGATTTTCTAACAGATTATCTAACCCAAACTTAGTTAGCCCCACAGCTGTAAACATTCTACCTTTGTTCCTTATCTTTCCAGCCCCAAAGCTACTCAGTCTTTCCTTCTACAGAGTGTAAGGAAAGACTCCAGGGTTAGTCTGATGAGTCAGGTGGTTTGATCTCTTCCATAGGAGCTCCTGTTGACCTGAGAGGCAGATGTGTACATGCATGATTCCATACAGCAATGGACTCCCACTGATCGCAGTGTGCCAGGGTATGGGAAAGGACAGATGAGGAGGGGTTCTCAGTGTGCCTGGGAGAAGTGAGTAGAATGACTAGGTGAAATGCCATGACAGTAAGTGTAAACTTGACACTCAAGATAAACCAGAGCACACAGTCATTCTAAGAGAGAGGATCAGGAAAGCATCTTGGAGTTTGATGATGGATTTCACACTAGGTAGAGCATGGTTTGAGTTTAAGTCCTCTCTGTCCCTTAACTGTGGGCTATGACTGTGCTATTTAACTTCTTCAAACCTCAATTTTCTGGGCTTTTACAATTGGAAGTTCCAGTAGCATCCGCAATGATTGTTTGCTGTGAAGATTTTATGAGATAATGGACTGACACTCTCAACTCTACCTGGCTTGTAAAATGCTTTCTCAAAAGAAGAAATAAAAAAGACAAAAATCGCTATGATAATATTATGAGAGATTAAACATTTTCTCCAAATCCATTGCTATTATACTTTCTTATTACTGAAAAAAAATACTGAAAAGTTACATCGGTGAAATTTAAACTTTAGGCAAGTTCAATGTAGTATATTGGTAAGATGTAGAAAAATTTAAAGGAATATAAACAATAAATAAAAATGAACTCCAATTCACTCTTCAGAGACAATCACTGTTAACAGTACTTTGGTGTATTTTCTTTTAATTTTCTGTGCATGTGTATTTACTCAGAAATGGTAAATGCCTCTAAATACAACACCAGAATTTTACAGTATGTATGGGTGTGTATACGGTTTGGTTGTCATTCACTGTTATTCAGCTTTGCATGGAGAGGACTTTCCTATGTCTTTGTTATTTGAAAAATGTGCTGAGGGTTGGGGTGTGCAAGTCAGTGACAGAGTGCTAACCTAGCATAAGCATGACTATGAGTTCAATCTCCAGCACCACACCAAAAAAAAAAGTATTTCGGAAGGGTTGTAGAGTATGAGTTTTAAAGTATGAGCCATAGTTTATTTTTCCTGGAATTTAATTTAAATTAAATGTCAATAATATGATGACTATCTCTGCTTCTAATCTACATTTGTACTTTATTCACTTAGGACAAATGTCTAAAAGTAAAATTATTAGGGTGCAGAATATGCTTCTTTTTAACTCTCTGGTTACCCATTTCCCATGATCTTCTAACTCTCAGATGTGTCTGGGGCTCCCATGTCTATCATCAGGCATTCTTATGAAAACATTTACAGTTGAATAGTGTTTGTTGATGTTCAATATTTTTCCATATATTTATTGACCTGTAAACAATCTTCCTGTATAGGAAGCATGACTCCATGTTTTGGTAATAGAAATTTAGGGAATTGGTATTGGGAGAATGTGGTTACATGGGTGCTAGATTCTGCTGTTCCATTTCAAAACCCAACAATTTTAGTGAAGGAAAAATGTGTAATTTTTACCTGATCAGATAATAATTTGGGTAATTGAAACAATTCTCAAAGGTAATCTTAACTCCTATTTTTTAAAGGTAATTAAAGCCTTACAGTTAGTAGATGATGCCTTTGGGATGTTGATGGAGGGCCTGAAACAGCGGAACTTACACAACTGCGTCAATATGATCATTTTGGCTGACCATGGTATGCTTTTTTAAAATCGTGTTTTATCACATCAGGGATTATGCAAAAATAACAGTGATATGTTAAAGACTTTATTTCCAGACCTACAAGCTCTTGAAGCAAAAAAAAAAAAAAAAAAAAGAAAGAAGGAAAGAATTTTTGTGGTAGATTATAAAGAAAAAAGGACTAAGTTAAATTTCTAATTATTTAACATTTTTGAAAAATTTTCCATCTGCTTCATTGGGGTAAGAGTACTTAATAGAGATGTGGTTGGGTTGTTACTCAATCTAAAAAGTGCTTTTTGGGCCTTATTTTCAGCTAGTGATTCCTTCCCGGAGCGTGGCTGTATTTTCTATATTGGCAAGTTTTACCAGGCTCTGTGCGTTTTCTTTTAAGTATGTTTAATCAGAAAATTTTGTCTACAAAGTCCCTTTCATCTCACAATTCTCAGAGTTTGGTCAGCAATGGCTACCCCTCTTGCACACACAAATGTGTTCATTCTGTTTTAAAGCACTTATTCACATCCATTTCACTTACTGCAGGTGCCAGGGATTAAACCTGGGTCCTTGAGCAGGCTAGGCATACTAGGCAAGCACTGTACCACTGAGCTACATCCCCAGCTCCTTCTCTACTATTCTTCAATGCCACCTCAGTGCTGTGTACTCTAGATTTGCAGTGTTCAGAAGTCCATAAAACACACATGGGCCCTTCTAGCTAGAGTGGTCAATCCATCTTCTGAGGAGGACATTGGACGTTGAGTTCCAAAGCTGTGAAGCAACAAAGCCATCAGGTGTGAGCAGGAAGAAGAGCTAGTCTATTGAGATAAAGAAAACACAGTGATGTGTTTTTATAACTTCTAATATGATTCCCTAACACTTCACCCTGTTGTTTTAAAATTAAAGAGGACCTTTTTTTGTGTACATTTTGTTAAAAGAAACTGTTTAAAAAAAGTACAAAAACCTCTGTGCTGGAACCACCTGTAATCCCAGCACTTAGGAAACTAAGGCAGGAGGATGGTGAGTTCAAGGGCAGCTTGGGCTACATAGTGAGATCCTGTTCAAAAGTGAATTAATTAATTGCAAATTTGCATGCAGCATGAAGAATCTGCCACTAAAAGATTTTACTGACATGATTTTACAGCACATTCTGCTTATATAAATTTAAGTAATAGACCTTTAACACATGCTTTTGAGTCCTTATTCTCTTAATGTATGTTTTCTAAATGTATATGTTGCTATTTTGATTTAAAATGAATCATGTTGTCTTATGTGCAAGTCATATATTATAAAGATTTAATTGGTCCACAGAGGTTTTTCTTCTTTGAAGTTAAATATTCTAAATTGAATAGAAATGTGCTCATTATTCCCCTCCATCCTCCCTCCATAAACATGACCCTTCTCTACTCTCACAATGTTCAAGTTCTTCTGTTTAGAGAAAAGCAATAGAGTACATTATAGAAGTTCTCAGAGAGACTTTGTTTGAGATTTGTAGTATAAAATAGCTCCTATTTGACATAATTAAAGACAGGCAATTGTTACTATATATGCATTCAGTGGATTTTTTTTTTGATTCAGGAATGGACCAGACTTACTGTGACAAAGTTGAATATATGACTGATTATTTTCCCCAAATAAATTTCTATATGTATGAAGGACCTGCTCCTCGCATCAGAACTCGTAATATACCTCAGGATTTTTTTACCTGTAAGTATGAAGACACCTATATGAAGAAAAAAAAGGTAAAACTGAAAGTACACAACCACTGCTCCCAGATTCTGACAGCATTACAGATGACTAGGTCTCCTTCTGACTTTTTGGAAGACCACACAGAAGCAAATGAGAAGTTCCCATGTTCAAGTACAGTCAGTCTGCAGTCAGAGAACTATCTTAGACTGGCAGGTTAACATATATTCTACTTCATTCTTAAATGCTACAGTAATTTTTTGTTTGAAATCACTTTTATTTAATTGTACCAGATCATAGATATAATAAATAAACATGGTGTGTCAAGTTCACTTCGTTGCTAACATTTTTTTCCAGTGGTCAAGTATCAATTGTAATGTGATCATTTTTTTCTTTTGAAACAGTTAATTCTGAAGAAATTGTTAGGAACCTCAGTGTGAGTATGCAGTATAATTAATGTATCTAACCTAATCTAAGGCCTTATTCTGGGTTTTGAGAAATTTTTGTTACATATATTTTGACTTTGAGCCGCTTGTGATTTATTTATCTATTTTATTTTTAATTTCATTTTTATTGAGGACGGATTTGAGACAGGGCCCAAACTGGCCTCAAACTCACCATCTTCCTGCCTGAGCCTTCCTATTGCTGGGATTATAGGCTGTACCACCACACCCTGCTTATAAATTACTCCTGGTACTCCCCATCAGCATTCATATTAGTTGCTTTTATCTTAGGGAAATTAGTAGGAGGTGACAAGGTCATGAAGTCCTTTTCACTGAGAGGGCTGATGTCCCATTCAAAAGGGATGTACTAGTGAGAGTTGGGTTGCACTATTTTCCTTGGTTTTTGTTAACAATTTTGTAACAAATATTAAGTCATGTTTAATTTAATATGAGATCCACTGCAAGTTCAAACGTAGAATGACCATCAAAACAGAAACCTTTGGAGTGTTGAATTTCTTTTTCTCTTACACCTTTATAAATAGGCCGATCTTGAATAACTGATAGACAATCTCACCCCTGCTGGTGAAGTGTATACATTCAGTATTGATGCTGCTTGGAAGGATAGTTAAGAATTTTCAGCATGTGGGTTCTCTAAACTCACATACTTTCTTTTTTTTCCATCACTTCATGATCTATATGTAGCTGAAGTTCAGTTGAGAAGAAGGATAAATCTCTAACAATCCTAGCAGTGTAAGAGGACTGAGTAACACAGACTTTGGAAAGTCCTTCATGTGGCATGGCAGATACAAACTGGGTCTGGAGCCACAGAGTCCCAGGGAAATGGGTCACTATTTTATTATCCCCAGGGAATGTTTCACGCGGACCTGACCTGATAGAGCTTACACTGTACAGCACAACCAGACATGAACTGGCAACTGTTTAGGTTCAAAACGCAGTGTCAACATAAGGGACACTGCCACCAACTTTATTGTTAAAGTGACCAAAATTTTATCTTAACTCTGGGATCATCGTCTTGAATTGTCAAATGCAAAACATAACCATGCACTCTTTCAGAAGTTAGCATTGTACCCCCAATTTTCTCTAGATCTACTTTAGCTAATCCAGGGAGAAAAGTGTGATGAGTCAAATTGTTGTCCTCAGAGGCAAGTCTGTCTCCTTCCCACTCAGGGGACAGCTGTATACTCAGCAGCTGCCATCACGTGCCCTCCTGGAAGTCACAAAAATATTGGCTTAATAATTAGGAAGTCATGATAAATGAAAAAGTAGAAAAACAAGAAGTCTAGAAAAAATACCAAAAGAGGCAAGGGAAAAATGGAGAAAAATATGTGTATAATTAGTGCTTTTCTCATTCGTCTTTCATTCTACAATGTCACTTTACTCTTCCATTTCCTGTATTTCTTTTAAATTTTGTTTTTGTAAGTACCACTTCAATTGTTTCTTATTTTCCATTGAGTATGAAATAATAGCACCATAGGCTTATTTTTTTAATTATTTTATTTATTTTTAAATTTAATTTTATTGTTTTTACATTTACTCACATGTGTATACATTGTTTGCCCCCCCCACAGGCTTATTAATATAGATGAGATATTGTGGTTTAAAATATGTGAGAAAATGAGGAAATAGAAGACCTGTCATTTCCTTATCTTACTTGTATGTTTATTATCTTCCCTCTTGTTTCTCAAAGAGGTCAGGACAGAAAGTTTTTTTGAGTCCTATTTCTCATTTCCTTATTTTTCTTTTGTATGACTAGATACCAATGTGATCTGCATTTTTACAGTGCTAAAATATGTTGCATAGTTGCAGTAATAGTTATTAAAGAAAAGCAGTTTTAAATTAAATTTACTTCCATCTACGATAAACCTGTGAACTTTATAAAGACTATAAACTTTAAAAACTTTTAAAACTGTGAACTTTATAATGACTATTTAACAGATAAACTGAGTCAGCGGGGAAATTTTTTTGGTGCAATTAAATCATTTTTAAAAATTTTGCCCATATCTATAACATGTTATATGCTTTTCATATATAATTTAGACTCAAAAATTTAAATATCATTCTAAATCTAAATATATCTATTTTTCATCAAAAAAGAAGGGGAAGTTAAGGCTTGAGATACATACCTGGGAATAAAAACTTAAAGCATCAAACACCTAATCATAATTTAAATCAAAAATTTAAATTCAATTATGTAATTATTTAAATTATTCAATTACTTAATTTCAATTTTAATCATTACAGCAGTAATAGCAATTGTCAATAGGGAGTCTTACCATGCAGAGAATAGATTTAATGTTTTTCTGGCCAAACTTAAATCTTTAAAAAACTTAAAACTTTTTAAAAAGTGCTTAAAAAATTGCCTTAGAAGCTGAAATTTTGTGAATTAATTTGCATATGTTATGTTTCATGGGAATGATATTAACTCTTCTTTTTCAGTGCCGGAAACCCAGTCAGCATTTCAAGCCCTATTTGACTCCTGATTTGCCAAAACGACTGCACTATGCCAACCATGTCAGAATCGACAAGGCTCATCTCCTGGTGGATCGGCAGTGGCTGGCTACAAGGTGCGTGTGTCTGTTACCATGCTTTTCCTAACTGTCTTTCGTCATAAGTTTACTTAATCTTACCTTGCTGTTAGGATCATGCAAACTTTCCTGACCTTTGACATTTTCTTCACCTTTTCATGCTGTCTAGCACTTCTGCATTTGAAGTTGTTCCTGTCAGGTGGCATTCTAATCTTTACCACAGCCATGAGAGTGGGGAGTCCTGGTCCAGACTGTTCCAGCCACTGCTCTGGAGGCATCCATAACACACATTGCTACTCAGCTGTCACATCCCTGAAGGCAGCAGAGAGAATAAAGATGCCACCAGGCTGGGATGGAGTGACCGATCTGATAGCTCTTTTAAGGTCTTTGTCATCGTCCTAGTTTTCATAAAGTAGTCTTTTGGTGGCTGTGAAGCCAAGTTAACCTATTAGTTGTACCATTTACCTCTTCTTTCTAGTTATAACTCTACTTTGTGCTATTCATCAGGCATTTACAAACTATAAATGTTCTTAAAGAAAATAAAACCATTCTGAATCACTCTATCCAAATAACCAATGACTTATTGGATGTGACAAAAGTTTAGCTAATGCTTGCTATGTGTGTGTCAGGCCTTGTCTTAAGCATTTGGAATATAGATGTGATTCCTGCCTTGTGGAGAACAACTCTGGTGGAGAAAACTGGTAATAAGCCAGGAAACAAATGCATGCCAGGAAACACTTTCTGTTAGCTAAATAAATGATTCTTAATTTTGTGTTTCATTCCAGTATTTTTTCCATGTGCATAAGTGACTATAAATAGGACTAGGATCAAACAGAATTTTATGGTCTAACATACATGAATACAACATTTGCCAAGGGGTACAATGACAATGGGAAGATAGTGGCCAGAAGATATGTTTGCTAAAGAGGAGATGAAAGAGCACAAGAGTTGGGCTTTAATACATATATGCAGGACTAAGAAGGAAGGATGGCAGGGCCTATTTAAGATAAATGCTAATACACTGCTCATCCACAGTATGCAGTTCCATGCTTGGACACTAGATGACACTGACCTCTCTCCTTGCAATCAGAGTTTCTCTAGCTCTCTGTCAGCTATGGTGATGTGGCTCAGGATAACATTGTCTAAAAGTGTTTCCCTGAAATATGTGAACAAAATTCAGCTTTCACACAAGATTGTTAGTAACTGTGGTATATAATATATAAATAAATAGATGTTAAAATAGGGGTGTGTGCTCCAAATATTTACTGTAAGGGTTATGAAATGAAAGAGGATAGGAGGCCACTGGGACTGAATGAGAAATGATAGAAGAATCCAGCCGCCATAATACCTCTAGGCATCGTGCATTAGCGTTCAGCCTCAAATGATGAGTTTTGTGCCTTTTCTACAACTAGCAGTGAGATGTAAAAAGAGCAGTGGCCTGAGAGCCCAAGGGAACACGAGTGTCTTAAGTCTTCATTTTCCTCATCAATAGCTTCATTATTCCCTTGCTGTTAACTTACAAGGTGTACTAACTCACACCTCAGGAAAATAAATAGAACCTTAACAAGAACAACTGAGGAATCAGCCTGATTTGACCCAAACTACGTTCATACGAGTCTGAAAATATGACTCTCAGGCTACTTACTTTCTAAGCTAAACTATGTCATCTTTAGTAATGTGCACTATTTGATAGATTAGGTTCTCTTTTATAGCAAATTTCAAAAATTAGTGGAGTCTGTTTCCGTCATCTTCAGCCTTGTCAGATTTTTACTAATTTTGGAAAACCCAGTTGTTTGAAAAATTGTTAAAGTGCTTTTTTAAAATAGAGAACATGAGTAATAGCTTAATAGCTTTTTATTTTGGCATAGCAACTGACAAATACATCCCAGTCACCTCTCTAAGTCCTAAAAATGACAGACACGGTTCTTACCCCAAGTGGGAAGGAAGACAAACAGGTGTGTGATCACCACTGTGTTAGAACCAAGTACAAGGTTCAGGGAAGCAAAAGTGATGACATACTCAGGTGTTGGTGGTCAGGGAAGATCAGGAAAGACTTCCTGGTAGGGGTGGTTCCTGACCTGGGTTCTGAAAACTTGGGATGGCATAGGCTGAACATGCAATATTGCAGGTCTGCCCATGCGTCTGTGCATGATAGAAGACACACAACCAGGAAGGTGAGTGGGAATAGACATTAAATCCTTGCTCAGCTCATGTCCTTCAAGAGGGGCTTTGTCCTCTGGATATGCTCAGAGCAGTTGGGGTCTTTTGTAAAACTAGCTGCAGCCCAGGAGCAAGAAGGGTAGAGAGAAGGGGGCAGGGTCCCAGAGAGAAAAACTAGATCCCAGCAATCACTAGCAGTGGCGTATTGATGGAGAAGTGAGTGAATGTAGCTGCCCTCTGTCATGATTGAGGGGTGTGACTTTGATCTTGAAGAAAGTGGGAGATACACAGTAACTTCAGGTGCATACAGTGGGATTTGCATTTCAGAGAGCTCATTCTTACTGCTCTATGGAACAGGATGGTGGCCTACATAAAGATGTGTAGTGACCTTGTGGTGTCATGGCAGATCCAAGAGAGGCTGTGGAACCCTGGGGAAGGTGAAATTAGTTATACAACAACATCACCAGGAAGTTATGACCCAGATTTTCCAGGACATTCTTGGTTCTTCATATCCAGTCCCAAATTTGTATTCATGATAACATATTTTCCATTTCCAGCAGTGGTTAAATAGTATACAAAAGATTAGGGACATGTATGTTTTGCGGAAAGATCCTGCAGTTCTAAAAGCAAGATGATTAGTTAGGGAACTTCAGAGTGATGAGGATCTAGCCTGGAATGATGGTAGTAGAAGAGGAAAGAAAAGGACCATCAGGAAGGAGATCCCAAAGAGCTAGGACTTGGAGACCACTTGGGTCTCAGCTGGGAAGTCTTGTTCATCAAGCATGTATGTCATTACCCAGCTGTGGAAGAGAAACACAGCTTTGATCTCAGATGAGTTAATTAGACAGGGAAAAGATAATAGAACATTTGTTCCACAAGATTTCATAGAGTACTTGGAAGTCGAGCTCAGTTATGACAGATAAAATCAGCTCACCTTTTCCAAATCCCAGCTCTCATTTTTCCATAAGCAATTTCCACTCAAATTAATGGCTGGAAGGCAAGAACATGAATAGCTGGAAGAACAAATTTCTGAAGTTTTTACTTGGAAAACAGTAGAAATTAAAGCTTTTTCAAAACTAAGTTTTACATTTTGCTTCTCAGCAAAATTTTACAAGACTTTTTAAATTAAATTGGGTTAGGAGATAGAAATATAAAAATACTAGATTTTTCTGAAACTAGAAAGCTATATATAGGACCAATTTATAGAACGTTTTAACAAAGTCTCAGTTCAAAAGACCTCTTCTTTCATTCATAAATAAACACTCTAACTTTCCACATAGAATTTAAAACTTATTTATCTCCAGTCATATACTTCCAGTAACTGCAGGAAACCAAATATCTGTGCAATAAGGATAAAAATATATTTTTAAACCAGTTTGACCCTATGCCAACAGTTTTATTGCTCATACCCTTAGGGTAATCAACTTAAAGTAGGACTCCTCTTGTTTCCCAGTAATGGGTGGACTGTAGCCTGGTCAGAGTTGCAACTCTTTGTCTTGTGATTTTATTTTATTGTCTACTTCAAATGAGTGGGAATCAGTTATGAATTTTTAAAATGCTGATTTTTTTAAAGGTGCTAAATTGCTCACTCTTTCTTAGTAGAGACTTCAATGTAAACACAAACAGAAACTGTGGTGTGTGTGTGTGAGTGTGAGAGAGAGAGTCCTGGTGTGTGAGTGTGAGAGAGTATTTGCCCTTGGTGGTGAGGGAGGGGCAGAGCGAGGGTGGGGAAATAAATGAGAGAAACCTTTTAAGGCCAGCTTATGAAATTTACAGTTTTGTTCCCTTCAGAAGCCAAATGTGAACCAGCACAATATTGTTGTCTTAAGAAAATCTAAGTTCATTTATCACTATTTTTTTCTAAACCTGAAAAATAACCATACATAAAATCGCTGACACTGCTCAGTTCAAATATTAAAATATGAAAGGTACACACAAGATATATTAATTATATTTGAAAAGTTATTCAAACAAAGCAACAGCTTTTGGAAGAAATTTCCATAAGTTAAAAAAATAAACTCTGAATTTACAGAATTGAGTAGCTTCTCCTTACCAAGTGTTATAATTAACTTACTCTGAGGACTCTTTTATTTTTTTTTTTATTGTTGTTCTAGGTGAGGTGCATTGTACCATTTACAAAAGCTCTTACAACACATCAAATATATCATGCTTGAATTCACCCCCTCCACCATTCCCCTTTATCCCCTCTTCCTCCCATTCACTCTGAGTATTTTTTATCCATGTTTTCCTATTTAACTTCCTGTAAAATAAGAATCAAGATATTTCTTAGTTCCAACAACTTATTCCTGAAGCATTAAAATGCTTACAGTAACTCATCTATTTTCTCTTCCCCACCATGTCACCATTGATGTGTAAAGGTGCAGCTGAGCTTGAAGGTGAATTCTTTTAATCTGCGCTCTGATTTTATTCTTTGTTGAAGTCTAAGAATCAAAATATTTTGACTCTACTCATAGAATTCTCTTTCCTTCTATACTACCATTTTATTCCTCTGTAGCTATGAATTTGAGCATGGAAATGTATGCTGTTGTTGGTAGATAAAAGCAAAGAGTTTTATATTAAAGCAGATGCTACATGAAACTCCAGTAATTTACAATAGTGCCTCAAATCAGTATACCGATTGACATAAAAATATCATTTCTCCATAGGAGTAAATCAAGTTCCAGCTGTGGAGGAGGCAACCATGGCTACAATAATGAGTTCAAGAGCATGGAGGTAACACCCTGCTGTTCTTAAACAGACCTAACTCAGCAGTGTGGCAGACAATGTATAGGACTCAGCCACAATGGGGAACAGTGCTCTCGCCCTCACGAAGCTTTATTTTGGATGGAGATAATGGGCGTGATAAAGGGATGTATGATTTGGCACATTAGGTGAAGCGAGATGGGAAGTGAAGAGAAAGAAAGAGCAAGTAAGGGCAAATGTTTGGTATGCACCTTTAAACAGGGAAGAAGGGACCAGAGGCACTGAGGTGACCTTTGAGCAGAGATTTGAAGGAGGTGAAGGAATTAGCCTTACAAATGTTTTAGGAAAGGAGTGGCCCAGGGAGAAGAAACAGGATGTGCCTGATGTACAGGGCACAAGAGGGCCTTCGTGAGCTGTTGGAAAGTGATCAGTTAGGACCCGACTCCTTTGAGAGAAGGAGCAAGAGGACAGCTAGACATGTTGAATTTGAAATATTTATTAAGCATGCAAATAGAGACATTGAATTGACGGTTAAAGAGAAGGGTCTATGCTGGAAATAAAAATTGAGTCTTAGGCATAGAGATTACTTAAACATGTACCTGGGCATGGTGGTACATGCCTGTGGTAGGAAGATCATAGTTTGAAGCCAGGCTGGGCAAAAAGTCAGTGAGACCCTATCTCAAAAACAAGCCAGGGTGGTGGTTCACTGCTGCAATCCCAGCTACGTGGACGGTGGAGTTAGGATGGCCCAAGCAAAAGCTTGAGAATTTCTCTGAAAAAAAACTAAAGCAAAAAGAGCTAGAGGCATGGCTCGCTCAAGAGGTAGACCTCTTGTCTAGCAAGTGCCGGGCTGTGAGTTCAAATCCCATACTGCCACTATGTGCAATCAGCTAAACTCCTTAATTCTAGGTGGATTGATTGTAGACAGGAGGACCAAAGGTTGAATGTGGGCCCTTCCACTTGAAGAGGTTGGGAGAAAAAGAAACCCAGGAGTAGAGGCACTGATGAGGGAGAAGGGAATACAGGGCTGTGCGCAGCTTGAAGCCAGGGAAGCAAGTGCTCAGAAGGGTCTATGGAAGAGCACAGCTGATCCGCAGCCACGCAGAGCTCTGTGAGTTTTTGCTGTCTGTCTTGCCTTGCATTTGTAATGTACACTCATGTGTGAACACACATGCTTGTGCACACAGAAAGCACCTTAGACTCTGAACACACTGCTTCTTAGCACTGTCTCGGTGAAGTGGACCTTTTCATAAATATTTGAAAAAATTCTGAATGTAAAGCTTTTCTATTAACTAGGTGCTACATAATATTAAAATTAATGGCTGAAAGAAAAGCCCATGACTTCCATTCTTTGCTGATTATCTTGTAAAGAATGTACACATCCTCTCAACAGAAAAAGAATTACTTATCTATGCTCCGCACTTCTCTTCTTGTTTACAATAGAAACAATTAGATCTGTTACAAATAAAATAAATTGGCATTAGTTAAATATAAGTCAAAATATTTAAACCTCTTCATCTCAAAAATAAAAAGGAGATGTTTGAGACATAAGCAGGTTAGGATGTTTTACAAAAAATTAAAACTTAAAATGTCATCATTTTTGTGATATATTAACATATTTAAGCAATGACATGAAAGGTGTACAAAAAGAGAATATGGTGTTGTTTAGTGAATCCCTCCCTCTTTCCCTTCCGTTCTTTTCTTCCCTTCCTTCCTTCCTTTCTTTTGGTGAGACTGGGATTTGAACTCAGGGCTTTACAAGCTCTACTGCTTGAACCACACCTCTGGTTATTTTTGGAGATAGGCTTTCATGAATTATTTTCACAGGCTGGCCTTGAACCACAATCTTCTTGATCTCAGCCTCCAAGTAGCTGGGATTACTGGCGTGAGCCACTGGCACCTGGCTATCAGATGAGTTTCTAGTATGTGTCAAGGGGACGTAGAATAACGGTGAATAATGGTGATCTGTTGTCCACTGTGGCTTGTGTCCTCCTAGTCTGCTGACATTTGGGGTGCTGAGACGCTGGTAGAGACAGAAGTAAACCCTTCATGGGTTGTATTTGATTGGATTTAGCACAAGTCATAGGAAGAAATGATTCGAAAACCATTTTTTAAGTCTGAAAAGAAATCCTGACAAAGGCTAAGATTCAGATAAGTTGTCACAGAAGGAAAATTGCCTGAACTTGCTTGTGAGCACATGTCATCAAATAATAATGATGTGGTTACCACTAGGCTATCTTCTTGGCCCATGGACCCAGTTTTTAAAGGAAAAGACTTGAAAGTTGACCTTTGAAAAATATTGAAAGGTCTGATAATCTAAATGCTTGTTGGTAAGTATTTGTAAAATAAATTCATCAGCAAAAGGTGGATAGTCTTTAACAGATATTAATTTGAAACGGGGATAACTTGAATCCCTTTAGGCTAGATGCTCTGCATTAGCAACAAAAAAAGTAACCAGACATGGTGTAGACAAACCTATAATCCAAGCTACTCAGGAGGTAGAAACTGAGGAGGGATCAAGAAGAGGCTAGCCTGGGTGAAAGTTGGTAAGACTTCATCTCAACGGAATAAGTTGGGCATGGTGGGTCATGTCTGTAAACACAGCTATTTGAGAGGCATGGTAGGAGGATCACAGTCTGAGGCTGGCCGTTGAGGCAAAAAAAGAGAGAGACAAAACAAAACAAAAAAGGCTAGGAGTGTGGATCAAGTGGTAGAGTGCCTGACTAGCCAGTACAAGAACTTGAGTTTCAAACCCAGGGACTGGAAGAAGAAGAAGGAAAAGGACAAAAAAAAGAAGAGAATTTCTTTTTCTGCTTTAGTAGGCAATGAAAAACTTAGATCTTAGGAAAACTAATACACTGTTCATACATAATCATCATATAATTTACAAAATTTAGAAAAATAAACTAACACTTCCAACTTTTCAAAGCAAGGCAAACCCACTTAAAAACAGAAGTATTTTACATTGCAAAGAGAAGTCTTCCAGCATAAAAGGGATGGTAAGAATGTCCTGTTTGGGTACATACTTGGTATGGTTAAAAAGTAAAGATTTAGGGTTTAGGGAACCTGATCTGTCTATCACATGCTTGCCTCAGTCTGTTGTATGGTCACATCATTGCCAGCCAAGGTAAGCAGACAGCTGCAATTTCACAGTTAAACAGGCTCACAGTTATTTCTTTAACCATGTTACTGATTTGTCATAATTGAATGTGACCTAGAGACCAAAACCCACCCATTTAAAACTAATGTTGCAGTCTTAATGACAACAAGTTCTTGATTCCCACCACGTGTTTGTGGTCAGGATTGCTTGGCCTTTTGTGGAGATGATAACAAGGAACTAAGATAGGACTCCAGTCCAAGGGCAGATGTCTTAGGCGGTACCCACCAGGAGTTACTTAAAAGACTATGTTGGTAAAAATATTTGTGTGCTTTATTTATGCAGAAAAAAATGTTTAATTCTCTAAATATAAAGCAAAATTCCCTAGTTTTAATTTTGAAAAGTATCCATTCTTGGAGAATTTTTTTGTATAAGTAAGCATACTTAGTAAGATCATAACTATTTAACTTTGTTAAACTTATTTTTATTAAGGTTTAGGGCTTAGGGATGTGGCCCAAGTGGTAGAGTACCTGCACGAGGCCCTGGGTTCAATCCCCAGTACTAAAATTTAAAAAGTATAGATTTTGTGCTAGAAAACCATGGTATGCTTAAGGAAAAAGCGATCATCTAAGCAAAGAAACCTTTCTCTGGAGGAGCAGGAAAAGTTCATGGACATTCCTGTGGCTCTTCTGTGCGGACACTGTTCCACTCAGGGCTAGATGTGGGGGCCGGGGGATGGAAGTCAGTGAATGGAATGGCACAAGCAGTGCATGACAGCAACTGAAGGCACAGTCTATTAAAGACACAAAACGTAGGTGTTTGTTTCTCGCATTTCCCACATAGGAGCTCCTGTTTTAAAGTGACTCTGAACTTACTTTTTAAAACAGATCTTCTACACATTCAACCAGCACCGAACAATGGTACCCATGGCAGTCTGAACCATCTTTTGAAGGTGCCTTTTTATAATCCATCTCACACAGAGGAAGTGTCAGAGTCATCTGTTTGTAACTTTACCATCCCAGTGCCCGAGACACCCTGGGCTGTTCATGCACTGAGCTTGGAAACACTGTAAGTAACAACATTGTGTGTCCACAAGACCAGAAAGGGGCAAGCTGATCTATAACCAGGTGCCAACAATCAGGCTTGAGTTGTGCTTGGATATTTACTAAGTAAGTATATGTGGTTTCTCTGAACTTCATCTGGAAATGCAAGATTATAATGCATACATTTAAAGATCAACAGGCACGTGTGCTTTGGAAACCAGAAGCACTATTTGGAAAGGAATTGTTAGTTCCATTGTGGATAAGAGACCTTTGACAACTCAGACATTAGTAATCTTGCGAGCTATCTCATGATTTCTCTCATAGACCATACTTACACTTTAAGAATCTAGGGATCAGTCTGCTTTTGCCATTTATTTTTTTTTTTTTTATTGATGTTTGTTTTCTTTTTTTTTTTTTTTTTCATTTTTTCTTTTATTATTCATATGTGCATACAAGGCTGGTCATTTCTCCCCCCTGCCCCACCCCCTCCCTTACCACCCACTCCACCTCCTCCCGCTCCCCCCTCAATACCCAGCAAAACTATTTTGCCCTTATTTCTAATTTTGTTGTAGAGAGCAGTATAAGCAATATAGGAAGGAACAAGGTTTTGCTGGTTGAGATAAGGAAGCTATACAGGGCTTGACTCACATTGATCTTCCTGTGTGTGGGTGTTACTTCTAGGTTAATTCTTTTTGATCTAACCTTTTCTCTAGTCCTGGTCCCCTTTTCCTATTGGCCTCCGTTGCTTTTAAGGTATCTGCTTAGTTTCTCTGCGTTAAGGGCAACAAATGCTAGCTAGTTTTTTTAGGTGTCTTACCTATCCTCACCCTCCTTGTGTGCTCTCGCTTTTATCATGTGCTCAAAGTCCAATCCCCTTGTGTGTTTTGCCCTTGATCTAATGTCCACATATGAGAGAGAACATACGATTTTGGTCTTTTGGGCCAGGCTAACCTCACTCAGAATGATGTCTCCAATTCCATCCATTTACCAGCGAATGATAACATTTCGTTCTTCTTCCATGGCTGCATAAAATTGCCATTGTGTATAGATACCACATTTTCTTAATCCATTCGTCAGTGCTGGCATCTTGGCTGTTTCCATAACTTGGCTATTGTGAATAGTGCCGCAAATAAACATGGGTGTGCAGGTGCCTCTGGAAGTCACAGTCTTTTGGGTATATCCCCAAGAGTGGTATTGCTGGATCAAATGGTAGATCGATTGTCCATCTTTTAAGTAGCCTCCAAATTTTTTTCCAGAGTGTGTTACTAGTTTACATTCCACAACGTGTCAAAAGGTTCCTTTTTCCCGCATCCTCGCCAACACCTGTTGTTGGTGGTGTTGCTGGATGGCTATTCTAACAGGGTGAGGTGGAATCTTAGTGTGGTTTTAATTTGCATTTCCTTTATTGCTAGAGATGGTGAGGCATTTTTCATGTGTTTCTGGCCATTTGAATTTCTTCTTTTTGAGAAGTTTGCTGTTTAGTTCACATGCCCATTTCTTTATGGGTTCATTAGTTTTTGGGAGAATTTAGTTTTTTAAGTTCCCTAGTATATTCTGCGTATCAGTCCTTTGTCTATGTATAATTTCAAAGATTTTCTCCCACTCTGTGGGTGTTCTCTTCAAGTTTAAGACCATTCTTTGCAGGAACAGAAGCTTTTTTAGTTTTATGAGGTCCCATTTATCATGCTGCTCTTATTGTGCTGTGCTGCTGGGGTTTCATGAGAAATTCTTTACCTATACCTACTTAACTCCAGAGTATTTCCTACTCTTCTCTGTACATCAACTTAAGAGTTGGTGTCTGATATTAAATTCCTTGATCATTTTGAGTTAATCCTTGTATAGGGGTGTTAACATGGACTCTAGTTTCATTTTTTTGCAGACTGCTTAACCAGGTTTTCCCCAGCAGTTTTTTGTGAAGAGGCTGCTTTTTCCATCGATTTATATTTTTTAGCTCGCTTTGTCAAAAGATTAAGTTGCTCATAGTTGGTGTGGCTTCATATCTGATCTCTATTTCTTTCCACTGGTCTTCATGTCGTGTTTTTGTGCCAGTACCATCGCTGTTTTTATTGTTATTGGCTTGTGTAATATAGTTTGAAGTCAGGTATTGTATGACCTCCTGCATTGTTCTTTTGACTGAGTATTGCCTGGCTATTCGTGGCCTCTTGTGTTCCATATAAATTTCACAGAATTTCAATTCTCTTAATGAATGTCATTGGAATTTTGTGGAATTGCATTAAACATGTAGATACTTGGGGG